TTCTGTTATTTAATAAAGTGGAAAACCTGAAATATTTTCATATCTGAAATCCTCAAAAACCCAACTTATGATTGACAACGCAGCACTAGGATAGCAAACTGAGCTACACTGTATTGATTAATTAGGATCAATCAGAGAAACGTGTTTGAGTTTCCCTGTGTTTCTGCTCTGCAGTGCAACCGGACCCTCCGTTCGGCCTCAACTGGACTCTGTTGAACGTCAGCCTAACCGGGTCGCACTTCGACGCCATGCTGAGCTGGAGGCCTCCGGCGACGGCCGACGTGGAGACGGGATGGATAGCGCTGCAGTACGATGCCCAGTACCGCCAGGCCGGCGCCGAGTGCTGGGAACAGGTGGGTGGCCATGGCGACTGCGTTAGTGTGCAGAGGCCAGTTACCCAACAATCAGTCAAATCTGTTTGTCTCAAAGTTAAGCTGATAATTCAAACTGCTGTTAATAAAAACAACAAATGAATAAACAGAGAAAACTAAAGATTTTGTTGTGAAATCCTGACAGAAGGCTGACTTTGTAACTGTCTTTATGTGACTCTGGAAGCTCAGATTTGATCTCCGGTTTGTAGGCGTAGTAACTGAAGCGACTAAATCGTTGCTCTTGAGTTTTTAACCCCTTGTGCTCCTCAGACCGGCCCGGTGAAAACGACGCACCGCTCCCTGTTCGGCCTTGAAACCAACGTCAAGTATGAGGTCAGAGTTCGCTGCAAAATGCTGGCAGGGAAGGAGTATGGAGACTTCAGCGACTCTGTGTTCATCCACATCCCATCTAAAGGTAAACGCTTACGAAGCTGTGCTAAAACCTTTTCAATTCATTCATTTAACACTGTTTGTCCCTCAGTTTTTCCAGATTCCCAGTTATGGCTTTGCTCATCTTTGGATCGTTGTTTTTAGTGGCCGTCCTGCTGCTGGTCATCGTTTCACAGCAGGAAAAGTTAGTAGTGATTCGGAATTAGAATATTTGAGTTTGAACCAAGAGAATGAAGAAGAAATGATTTCTGGTGTTTTCTGCTCCAGGTTGATGTTTATCCTCTTGCCTCCTGTTCCTGGACCGAAAATACAAGGAATCGACCCAAATCTACTGAAGGCAAGTTTCCACATGACTTCCACATTTCATCATGTTATAATGACAGGAAAAAAATCTTGTTATCCAAGAAGGATTATGTTAAAAAAATGTATGAATATATTTTGTATAACCCATTGTTGGGTTGCTAGGTGATGGGCGGAACTCTGCTGTGGTTGCTAGGTGATGGGCGGAACCCTGCTGGGGTTGCTAGGTGATGGGGTTGCTAGGTGATGGGCGGAACTCTGCTGGGTTGCTAGGTGATGGCTAGGTGAAGAACTCTGCTGTGGTTGCTAGATGGGTTGCTAGGCGGAACTCTGCTGTGGTTGCTAGGTGATGGGGAACTCTGCTGTGGTTGCTAGGTGATGGGCGGAACTCTGCTGGGGTTGCTAGGTGATGGGGTTGCTAGGTGATGGCAGTGCTTCCTGATAGTGTTTATATTCTGGAAGTTTTTTGAAACAGCTCATTTCCCAGAACCTACAAACATCTCAGTGTTTATTTTAAGCATTTTGGATTTTTAGAAGCCAGGAAGACCCAAATGGAATCATAAAAACATTTAAAATGGGAATTTTTTACTTTCTATTCAAGGTTGAAATTTAAATATAAACGTCTATTTTGGGTTTTGTTTGAAGTCATGGGCGTCTGAACCGTGTTTGTTCCAGAAAGGGAAACTGCGAGAGCTCACATCCATCCTCACCGGCCCGCCGGACCTCAGGCCAGAGCTCTACAACAACGACCCCTGGGTGGAGTTCATCGACCTGGACATTGAGGAGACCAACGACAAGCTGCAGGACGTGGACACGGCCTGCCTCATGGACCACTCCCTGTCGTCTCCGCACTCCACTGGCTTCAGGGACGACGACTCGGGCCGCTCCAGCTGCTGCGAACCTGATCTGCTGAACGAGGCCGGCACGTTGCCCGTCCATCAGGAGGCACCCGCCGTGGAGCAAAGCTCTGCGTTTGTAGCTGCGGAGGGCAGGGAGGCGGCGGCGTATACGCAGGTCGGCGAGGTCGGGTTGTCTGGGAGCGTTCTGCTGGAGAAAACCACCATTAAAGAGACAAGCATGGAGGAGGAGAAGGGTAAGAAACAAGATGGCGTCTTGGTGAACGCAGATCAGAGAGACTGCAGCCCTGAAACGAAGCGGTTAGCAGCTTCCTGAGTGCGTGGCCCAGCTGCCCGCTGCTCCTGTCTACACTGTGGTGGAAGGTGTGGACATTCAGAACAGCCTCCTGCTGACATCAACGCCGGCCCCCAACCTGATGGCCCCAAAATCCCAGCTACGCCCGACGGCTACCTGACCCCCGACCTGCTGGGTAGTGTCACACCGTAAATCAGCCGGGGATCGAATCACCCAGAACTTGTTAATCTAAGGAGGTCAATTCCTGGAGGTGACCCTGGCTCGGTTTCAGCTAGCTTAAAATAGCTAGGAGGCGACAGCAGGAGCCAGAGGCGTTCGGAGAAACCTGGATCCAGTGACACTGCTACACCGTAAACCAGCACTGCTAAATATCTCTGCTAAGCTGCACCTATCAGTTCATGTCAGCGCGTTAGCTAAAACTAACGAAGATGCTACAGGGAAGATCCGGAAATCAATTCTGCAGATGGGAAATCAAAGGGAACAACTACCAGTGGTGGGCAATTGTTAGCTAGCTAACAAGGTAGTTAGAAAGGTATGATTAACTTTAAAGCGCTAATCACAAACATTAGTTCTGCTAATGCTAAAGCGCTATCTTTTTAGCAGAAGCCAACAGTAAATTTAGTTTTTTAGAATAACTAACAGTAAACTGCTGCAACACTTAGCTTTTTTAAGCTAAGTGGTGCTAATGCTAAAGTGCTAAGACGCTAACTTCAAATGTTAAGTTTTCAAAATAAGAGCATGAATACATCATCTAAATAGTTCAAGCGGTGAAGTAGTTAGACGTTTAGGTTTTTAAACAGCCAAATTAGCTCTTTAGACTCGGTTGAGGAAAATGTATTTAATGGAAGCTGAGTGCGCTAAATGTTTTCAAATTTACAAAAGTGCTAACTGACAAAATTAGCTTTGCTATTAGCGGGTTAGCAGTTTAGCATTAGCATGCCCACCACTGAAAAATGCCATTTTTGCCTCATTAATAGATGATTTAGAACAAATGAAGTGAGCCTGAAATGATGAGATTCGTCTGTTCTGGTGGAATAACGTTAGCACACCCTCTATATTCATCGCTGTGAAGCTTCACTGTCTTAAAAAGCAGGTTTGGAATCTCATAAATAATCTAGATTGTGAAAGAATCCAGTCAAAAAAGGTCAATATTGTATCAAGTTCTGAAAATCCAGGTGCTCTGTAATAATAGAAATAACTCGACTCTCTTGTCATAATTCAGTCTTTTTCCAGTATTAATCACCCAGATTCTTAATCTCGTCGAGCTCATCCTCACTTATTCAACTGTCTTTTTTTTTTTTTTTATAATCTGTGAAATGATAAACAAAAGGGTCATGCATTTACTTTTTTATGTGTTTAATATTTTTATCATGTTTCACTGTCACATATTTTGTAATATTGATGTTGTTTCATATATGAAGTCCACAGAAAAGGTAAATAAATCTGCTTTTCTGGACTACAACATCAGCTGGACTGTAAATTGTTATCCTTTTATTTTCATTAAATTTTCTCTTGTCATTTAAAACTGTGAAATACTTTTTAAAGTTTTTAATTTTTGGTGTATTTTTTGCCTTTGTATTTGAGTAATTTGTATTCATAAATTACTTCAGAGTTGTAAACCAAATGTTTACATCTTTTGTAAAAGTGCACTTGTATTTTCTTCTTCGCTGTCTGACATTAACTAAACTTCCTGTTTTAAGTCGTTTGTGGTTTGAGAATTCTTCCAGGTGTCAAACTCGAGGCTCAGGGGCCAAATCCGGCCCGTCAGAAGTTTTAATGTGGCCCTTTTATTTCAAGTGTCCTTAACAATTATTTTATCAGTCAAATCAGCAAGTTTCTCAGTATTCAGCCAAATTAGGTCAAGGTGAAAATATATTTTATATTTAACTTTAAGACGTTCTCATTGAGTGAAAAGATACTTCATATTTTCAGTTTGTTAGTTTTGTTAGCACATTCTGTCACAACTGGCCCTTTAAAAATATAAAGTTAGTTTCATTAATGTCAGAAATAGAAGGTTGTATTTCTTTTAACAATAATTCAGCTACATGTATTAAGTCTGTTTAGTTTTCTGTAAGAAGTTACCTGAATGATGAGCAATTACTGGAAAACTGGAGGAAACATTTAGCACATGTTCAAGGAAGTGGACTGATAAAATGAATTTAATTGTAATTTTCCTTGCATGCTGTTTTTTTTCCTGAAGTGAATGCTTGGATAGTCACTGGAAAACTTTCCAGACATTTGTGGATCCGTCTCTTTGTCAGCATCTATAAAGGTAAATAGATTCTTTTCCTCCAATAATATGGGTCATAATAAATGTAAAAATCATATGCAATTTTATAAAGTTACACATTAAACAACATTTCAACAACTGAAGTTGCTGTCTTCTTGTCTTAATCTGATACTGGCTTCAGCAAGGTGGCCATTTTGGATTTTGAGGTCAGGGTTAAAACTCCCACATCAAAGAGTAATATTAATTTTTAAATTAAGATTCAATATGAGCAATTTAAAAACAGTTTTATAATTTAAATGTATTTGTATTAATTTTAGTGGTAATAATGTAATATGATCTTAGAACAAATGATCACAGTTTGGTTTACATGGTAACACTGAACATGGTCAGGAATATTTTAGACTTTAAACAATTAAAACTAAAACTGACTTCTTTATACTTTTCTTGGACTGTCAATAAAGGAACCTGGTGATAGAGGAGGTCAATAATATATTTTTTTATTTATAAATATGGCCTGGTAATATTGACTCTCTACTACTGAAGTTCTCGCCGTTTTCAAAATGGCGGCAGCTCGTTCCGTCAGCTGTTAGCTAGCTAGCTTAGGGTCGGTGACAATACAGACAGAAACCATAAAACCAAAACCACAATTTAAACGTTTGTTTTGGTTTCTTTTTAGACCAACGGGATGACAAAGTTAAACTGTGTGGAATTGGAGGGATTTATGGCGGAATTCGGTCGATTGGAACAGGTACGTGACTGTTAGCTTAGCTTAACTTTGCTTGGTTAGTCCGAACTAGCTAACCGGAGTGATGACGTTGGACTCAAAAATAGCTTTTCCTCGCTTTTAACGTTGAATAAAACCACTTTTTCAGTTTTAGGTTTGATATTGTGCCTTGTCATGCTTTAATTTGAAAATGTATCGTTTTAGTTACACTTTAAAGCCACCATAATATTCGACACTATATTTACTCGGACTGGGCGAACTGGGTCTGCGGTCCAGTTCGGTTTAGAATTTATTAAACTTGTACTGACATTCTTGTGGAAAAGGTTTTCTCGGAAATATTCAGATTTTTGTCTAGCAAATGTGTGACTTTTAAAACTGAAATTTCTCTCCCCCTTAAAAAAATTCTGAGATTAAAACAAATTTTTAATTTTTTGACAAATTTTTGATTTTTCAAACAAATTTTTTTTGTTGCAGAAAACAACTCCTTTTATTTATTTCTATCTACTTTGGCTGTGATATGTATGAAAATACAAATAAAAACTGCATCTTACTAATCATAGTATAACTTAGCAAGTTGAGTAAAAGTTTACTCAGTTTTTCTGTTCAGTGTAAAATAGTTGAATCCATATTGGACTTTTCTTAATGTTAGTTTTTTTAAAAAGATAATCCAATTTGAGTTATACATGAATATAAATGATCAATTTAGCATTTGTCTGATCAAATTACAAGAAGCATTACAAACTGCAACTTTTGAACTGAAACTGAATCTGTTTTCCAGGATCGTTTGTTTGAAATTGAACGCAGCATTTCCTCTTTATTGTCTCTGACAGAAAATTACAGAGCTGAATGGTGCAAAAAACCTTCTGGAGCTCAGGTTGGAGGACTCCAACAGGCTGGTGAATTTTTACATAAATAAGGAGCGGAGCCTAATAGATGGTGATATTTTAGTTTACTTATTTGTTTGTTTGTGGTCGAAGTGGTGATTTTGTCTCCCTCTAGTGGCGCTTTGCAGTCATAACAGTTCACTGTTTTTCATATTAGGGCTGAATTAGAGGTTTTCTTTAAATTATGAACCATGTCATAATTTTATGACGATAATACTAATGAATATGTCATAAAATGGCTTTACTCTCATTAATATGATCAGTAATGAGAGTACTGATCAAATTAGAATATGCCATGATCAGCTTGTTTAGACTGTTAATTAAAAAAAATCATTTTGCAGAATCATTTAAAGGTCCTTCTATAATAATTTGATGCTGATGTGTTAAAATATTATCTAATTTGTAAAACTAATATCAGTGTAACTGCACAAATTGCTCAACAATCCCATTTTAATAATTTGCCATTTTCATGTAGGAGTTCATTCTGCTAATAGTCCACATTTTTCTGAAAATACTAGGACTTTATTCTCATTATTTAAACTTTATTCTCATATTATTACAACTCTTCTTGAGTAATAACATCAACTCATTCTCATGATTTTTTTAAAATCTTACTTTGGTAGTAATAGCATAATTTACTGTATTTTAGCTTTTTATTTTCCTTTTTTTACTCAGTTATCAGTTTGCTGTTTTTATTATCTTAAAAATAATTGTCAGGTGGAATTTTCTTACTGAAGTGATTCTGTGAGTAAATGTTTGCAGCAGGTTGACCTCTAATGCTGCTTGCAGAGAAGCAGAGCCTCCTGGTGTCGGTGGACCGGCTGCATCAGACGCTGCAGGAGCAATGTGACCTCAGAGGTAACGGCGCCACCTGCTGGTGGGCAGAGTTACAACACCAGAAAACCCAACAGACGCTTCAAGAAAAGATGTTCAGTCTCCTGGACGTGATTTAATGATTTATTTCAACACTTCCAGTTTTGTGCAGTAGTAAAGTTAATACAAAAAAAGCCCTCGACATAATGCTGCCACCACCGTGTTTGACATTTGCTGCACTTCTGTCTTATACAAGAAGCTTCATAAGAAACATTTAACTAATATTAGTGGGAGTTTTTCCATCATCAGCGTCTTTCTGTCAACATTTGATTAAAATTGCAAAACTCCAAATAACTTCCTTAATTTTGCTTTTCAAAAAGAGTCGATTTGTTAAAGATGAAACATCTTTAGCACCAAACTGAGAAAAAGGTCAAAGTTCAAGCTTTCTGTAACTACCAGTTTGAATGACCTGATATAATTCAAATGAAACAGTTTAAGTTTCCATGTGTGGATCAGTGGAAATCCACGAAAAACAAACATTTTTTAAACATCCTTAAAGTTGATTATTTTTATCTTCATTGAAAAAATATAATTAAAAGCCTGAAATATGAAAGGAAATATCTGAGTGTGTCTGATGGGATTTTATTTTATTAAATAATCTGTGAATGTGAGTCTTTTTAAAGTTTCAGGGGGGAAACTTTGTGTTTTTTCTTGACGTTTCAGTGGAAAACGAGAAGCTGAGGAAGGAGGTGGAGAATCTGAAGGAAGAGAATGAGAACAGCCCAGGTGAAAACAGAAACAGACGGATTCTCTGGTGTTCAGCATCTGATTTAAATAAAAGCCTGAATATAAATGATCCTCATTTTAACTAATGCAGCTTTTCCATGTCAAATGATTACGTTAATCTCAGTTTGTGTGGTTTGTTGTGCTGCCCTGCAGGCCGGCCGCTCCGACGTCCAGCAGCTGCTCCGCCAGATGGCAGCAGATGAGGACGGACACCAGAGGGCGCTAGAGGCCGTCCGACAGCAGAGCAGCAGAGAGGTAGAGGAGGCGCAGAAACAGGCGAAGAGGCAGAGTAAGGCTGAAGACTTACTCATTAACTTTCACTGTTTATAGGTTTTATTCTGTTTTATTGCAGTTTATTTTAGTTTTGTTGTTTGTGTTTCGTCTGCCATGCAGAAACCCGTCAGTTTGTTCTTGCTGTCAGTTTTCAGGTTTCTGTCTGGTTTGTTTCCAGTGGAAGCTAAAGACGCTGATGTTCGGCGGCAGCTGGAGGAGAAACATCTGGAGCTGGAGGAGATGAAGATGAGGATGAAGGAGCAAGAGAGGGAGCGGCAGAGCGAGCTGCTCAAGATCCAGATGGAGGTCAGGAAAAGAAATGATGCTTCTACAAACCATCGCTTTAACGGTTCCTGTGGTACAGCTGCTGATTATCATTTCAATTTAAAGAGTATTTATTTTATTTTCTCTGAACTGAAACAAATGTAATTGTTTATAGTTCCTCATATTCAGAGTTTATGGTCAGGTTTATGGTTCGTTGCGCCCCCTGCTGACACCCACAGGGACTGCAGGAGGCTCGTGTTTAGAAACATGATTCACTAATCAATTAATCAATTAATTGGATAAAAAAAATAGGCGTATTTTGCAGATTTTTCATTTAATCACTCAAGTTTTTTTTATTCTGTTATAAATGCATTATAATAAATAACTGAATCTCTGTAAATCAGAAAATAAACATTTTCAAATTAATAATTTGAAAAGATCTGAGTTAAATGATGAACTGAATTTGTGACTTTCTATAAATTATAATTTTAGTTGCATACATGAAACATTTACACCGCCCTGTTATTGTTTTTTTATTTTATCGTATTCTTTTGTTTATTTATATTATGCTCAGAAAACTGGGAAATAGTAATAATAATACAGCAAAAGATGCTTTAGAGGAGATTTTGTTTAAACCAACGTTGAACCAGGTGAAGATAAAACTAAATATTTTCCTCTCATAACTCCTCAGGTTGCAGACAAAGAATTAAAAATATTTTAAATGCAGAAAGTTTATTTTTTTTGTAGAGTTTTGTCTTAATTGCAGCTCTTTGTGAGCTGTTCCTCCAGCAAACGTGAGCTCAGTTTATTGAATCCTGGTTAATCCAATAATGGTGATTAATTGATTTAGTTGATTTAACCGTTTCAGTGCCAGTTTGAAGTAGATTGTTAAACTGAACTGATCGATTCATGGAGGAGCTGAAACAGTTTGAGCTCAAACTGCTTGTGTTTTCCAACAGTTTGGTGCGAAGTTAGCTCGGGTTCAAAGTTCAGCTCAGAGGAGCCAGCAGCAGCAGCAGCTTCAGGGATCCAACCTTCTTCCCCAGAGCGTCTTCAAGCGGGTGAGCCAGAACCTCAGGTGCAGAAATAAACCGGTTCTGATGGATCGACCCAGATCTTAGCAGTGTGTGTGTGTGTGTGTGTGTGTGTGTGTGTGTGTGTGTGTGTGTGTGTGTGTGTGTGCGTGCGTGCGTGTTTGATCAGAAGCTGCAGTTTTTTCCAGGAGGAGAAGAATAAAGAGATTGCGGCTCTACGTCAGAGAATCAAGCAGCTGGAGGAGAGCCAGCGCGCCGTTAGGCGGCACAGCAGCAGCTATGTGAAGAGGAGGAAGTTCTAGTTTGACTCGTCGTGTTCAGAAAGTTTAAATTTGTATTCAGAAAGTTTAAATTTGTGTTCTGGTTGCCATTGCTGCGTTTTCTTGGCCTTTTCCTCCATCTGGAAGCACGTTGAGGCCCACGCTGCCCGGCGTCTCAGGCTCTAATCCCATCAGGCTGCAGCAGTGAATGAAACGCTAATCTGTTCCTGCAGCTTGAACCTGTTTCCATTCAGAGAAATAAATCAGTTGACTGCTTTCTGTAAATTCATTAACTCAGCTTCAATATGTCAGAGTTTGGTTTTGGTTTCATGTTGGAAAGCTGAGAAAGGCTTCCTGATTAATACCCTTTATATCTGGGAACACTAAGTGCACCCACCTGCAGCAGGAAAAACTTCCTCAGTATTTAGCGATATGAAAACTACTGGAGCAGAAATTAGTTTGGGTCTAATGTGAGCTGGTTGTTTAGACATGTTACAGTGGCAACCATGTATTGTTTTTACTAATAATATCTGAACTATGACCCCCGACTCCAACACCTGCCCAACCGTGGCAGAGATTTAAAGAGGAGCTGCAAAAGCAAATGAGGTGGATCAGCAGAGCTGATGGTGTCAATCAGGAGAAATATCATCTTAATCAACTAGTTAATGATTAATTGTTTAATGAAATTAGAAAACAGGCTCTGAAAAGGATAATTTACTGGAAACCAACAAATTCAACGCAATAATTCAGTCAAAACTCTTAAAAATTCACAAATTACACATTATGCATTTAAGATTAAAAAAAAAATTTTTACAGAAGAAGTTGTGTGTGAAATGTTTTTAATTAAAACTCCTGCAGTGGCTGTTTGGCTTCACCTGGTTCAAATTTGATTAAAAAAAGAAAGAAATTATTTATCACCTTTTGCTGCGTAGCAATTAATCTGTAATTGTATCTTTTCTTTCAGCATTTGAATGTAAAATATGCAGAATGTGTCCATTTTTCAATCTGACCAGCTGAACGATGAGCCACGTTGCTGCTCAGGTGTTCTCACCTGGATGGAGGTTCTGATCTTCTAATCTGTTTATCTCTGCTCTGCAGCCGCGCTCCAAACTGGACTCTGGTCTAATCTCCACCAGAACATCGGCTAATACCGTTGCATAACGGTTCATCTTCAACCGAGCTTCCAGGGAGTGAAACAGTTTCCTGCCACACGCCTGACCTCCGACTGGATGAATATCCCACCTTATGATGATTTAAAAACATGAAACTCAGGCAGAACCAGAAGCTTTTGTTTGTTTCGGTTCAAATGTGGCGGTCAGAGTTGAGCTCAAACAGGATTAGCGATCGTGGACACCATCTTGGCCGCCGTCCTGTTCTGGAGCGGTGAGGAGGCGTGGCCTGTGGGTCGTCTCAGCCTCCTCCTCCTCACCTGTCTGCCGCGTGTTGAGTCAACAGTCTGCAGCTCTCTGTTGCAGAGGAAGCAGGTGGAGGCGGCGATGCTCTGACCTCAGCATGTCGGCAGGTTCTGGTTCTCTGGGTCCGTCTGGAACGGACTGTTGGGAGAGGACTACGTCCGCGGCCATGTTCTGAAGAAGACGGGCGTTTTGGACAGCTGGTGAGATCTTTATTTTTAATCTGGTTGCAGAAACTTGTCCTAATAGAAGCCAGTGAAGATTATTAATGGATCTGAATCCAGAAATAAAGACGCTACAAACTGTTTCTTTATGGACTGGTGATGCTAATTGGCATCATACCCATTTGTTGTGAATACATCCAAGATGGTGTGTAAATACTCTCTTTAGTGTTGATACATTTTCCTCTGGGATTATATTAGAAGTGCGTTGATGCCACCTAGTGGTCGGAGTCTGAATTACATAGTTTTTCTGATAAAATCAGTAAATGAGAACTAGATGGTGCAATAAAATATATTTTATTGCTTTCTTCCACATATTCTATATTAAATAAACAACATCAAAGTTCCAAAAGTTTTTCTAATTTTGGGTTTGATGCATTTTAGCAACAATCGGCAACTAAGGACCAAAAAGCTGAGCTCATTGGTGATGATCTCATCACCATTGGTGGATGGGATGTTCAAATCATTTTTTAGTCAATTAAGATCTGATTAACAGGAAAACACAAGTCATTTTATGTTTTAATAAAACTTTCAGGCTGTTTTGAAGGAAAACAAAGAAATGTTGGGTGGTTTAAGACTTTTGCACGGCTCTGGGTCGTTGACTCCTCCTGTGTGTGTGTTTGGCAGCGATGCCTGGAAGCCAGTACCAGCTGACCCGCACCAGGCTGAGCCACAGCCTGTACAGCCTGACGGACAGCTCTGACGGCGGCCATGAGGACGAGCGGCCCGACGACTCGCTGCGCCTCACGCCGCTGCAGAAGCTAACGGCGGCCATGTGCAAAGACGAGAAGACCGTCAAGGAGCTGATCATCGGCCGCAGGGTGGGCTTCTACAAGGTCAGAGGGAGATCGGCTACGGGACGTTTCTCCAGGGTCAAGCTGGCGTTCCACGCCCTGACCAAAGGTACCATCAGAACCTCACCTGGTGATCCCACTTCATCACTGCAGAGCTTGGATACATTAGCTATTAGCGTCTTCATATTGTACATTAGCCTCTTGAACTTCAAGATGGCTGCCATTTAACCAATTCTTGCCTTGAAATGTTCCCAGTCTTTAATATTTGATGAATTTTGTCAGTTTGTTTCTTTCTTCATAATCAGTTTTTCTGATTTTGCTGCATATTAATATTTTCAACTTTGGGAATAAGTTTAAACATCATGTGACAGTCGACTTAATGGTTAGAATTAGCTTCTGCTAACTTTTATGTGCGCAGCTGTTTAGCGTTAGCTTTCACAAAGATTTTGTATGTGGTTAGCATTAGCTAGCTAGCTCGAGTATAGGGTTAAACAGTTAGTTAGTGAAGCTAACTCTCCGGTTAGCTGTGTTCACCACTGGTAGCTTAGCTACTGCAGCCATTTTGAAAAATGTCCACCAGTAAACAAAACAAGATGAAGAAAAAATTTCTGATTTTATTGTTGAAAACATGTAGCTTACGAAACACATTCATCTATTTATCAATTTTAGAGCAGAAAAGTAATTTTTAATGACAACCATGCGGCCATTTGAATGTTTACATTTCTGCTCACAGACAAAGTGGCTCTGAAGATCCTGGACCGGACGCGGCTGGACGCCCAGGCCCAGCGGCTGCTGTCCAGGGAGATCAGCAGCATGGAGAGCCTGCAGCACCCCAACGTGATCCGGCTCTACGAGGTGGTGGAGGACGCCCAGCCGCCTCTTCCTGGTGCTGGAGTACGCCGGAGGAGGGGATCTGCACAACCGGATCTGCACCGAGGGGAAGCTGAGCGACAACGCCAGCAAGATCACTTCGCCCAGATCCTCTCCTGCCGTCAAATACATGGTGGCCGAATCTTCAGAGCAAAACATAAAAGCAGTGATTATTGTTTATTCTGGAGATTTTATCGTCCAACCAGTTCTGACCCGTCGGTCTTTTCCCCTCCAGCACAACTTGAACATCATCCACCGCGACCTGAAAGCCGAGAACGTTCTGTTCACCTCCGCCGGCTGCGTCAAAGTGGCCGACTTCGGCTTCAGCACGCGCGTGGCGAGCCGCGGCAGCGCGCTGGACACGTTCTGCGGCTCGCCGCCGTACGCCGCCCCGGAGCTGTTCCGGGACGACAGCTACCTGGGCCCGCCGGTGGACGTCTGGGCCATGGGGGTCCTGCTGTTCTTCATGGTCACCGGCAGCATGCCGTTCCGGGCCGACACCATGGGCAAGCTGCGGCGCTGCATCATGGAGGCCAGCTACGCCGTCCCGCCCTGGGTGCCGGGCCCCTGCCAGCGGCTCATCAGGGGCATCCTGAAGCCGGTCGCCGCCGAGCGCTACGCCGTCGACCAGATGCTGGGCTGCGATTGGCTGCTGCCCGTGGAGTTCCCCTGGGCGCTGGCGCCGCCGGAGCCGCCCGGCCCGCTGCAGAGCCTGCTGGAGTCGGAGCGCGGGAACCCGGAGGACGAGGAGGTGGAGGAGGAGCGCAGCGCCCTGGAGGAGCTGGGCTTCACCGCCGAACACCTGAGAAACCACCAGCTGACGGACAGCCGCAGCCCCGTCACCGGCGTCTACCGCATCCTGCTGCACCGCACGCAGAAGAGGTGGGGCTGCGACTCGCCGCCTGTGGTCCGCGGCATGGTGACCCCAAGAGGGAGGGGCTGCGGGCCTACAGGGGCCTCAGGCACACCTCCAAGTTCTGTGTGCTGTCATAACGGACCGCGACGGGTCGGCCTGTGGCCCAATCACATCATTCTGAGAAAACCAGAGTTTAGTCTTTAAATCCAGACTCAGCCCCACCTCAACGTTTACCTGGAAATGTCTGCAAACAGATGCACAACAGCACAGCTTTGAAAAGCAGAAGTGGAGCCTCCTGCACAGCCCATTGCCTGGACCAATCATGTCTTTCTAGACGCCAAGAAAAGAATTGCCAAAAAACGGCTGAGTGTTTTATTGTTCTGGTTTGTTTTTATTTGAGACCCAAATGGACGAAGGAAACTTTCATCATCTCCCCTTTAGCAGCTTCAACTTCACAGACTCACGTTTTACACTCCGAGTTCAGCGCTGGAAACTTTCTGTTATTCATATGAGTGCCTGAAAAACGAGAAATAAAATGACTGAGGTGAAAGGTGTTTTTTTTTGTTTTGCTTGAATTTCCTGACGTTCCCATAAAAAACAGCTTGAAGGACATCGTCAGTTGTTAGCGCGCTTTGCTAATCCGCCTCCTTTGCTATTGCTGCTCCGCATTTAATCTGTTGTCTAATCGTACGATCAGAAAGTAGCAGTTCGGCTAAAATGCTGACCAGCTGTGAGGTTGTGTAAAAAAAAAAGTTAATTTTTGAGATCTATCTGAACATTTCTAAGTTTCAAACATTTCAATTGGTTTCAAGAAATAAACGTTTGGAAATTTGTGAAACCTTAACTTTTTATTTCCTATAAAACTCCTGAGTATCTTGCAAATGTTTCCAAACTGAGAGGATTTTTTTTCCTCCTATGGACCTTTTGATATGATGCAAAAGTTTATTTCTAGAAAAAAAACAGGTTGATAATTTCCAAATCAACTTATGAAACTTGGAAATGTTCTTTTTATAATATGGCATCATGAAAATGAGGAATATCCAGCAAAACTTGAAGCTTCATTCTGTGTTTTTCCAGCCTGACTGGTGGGAGCAGGGGCCCCTGAGGGCCCCAAGCGTCTGAGCTGTTTACTGTCACACAGTTGGTGAAAGTTTGGTAAACGCCAGCAGCTGGCCGACCCTCCCTCCCTGATGTCGCTTTCTCCCCTCTGGCTCCGCCCACCTGACCCCGCCGACCCCGAGCGGCAGATGGCGAGGCGCCCCCGGAGACATCTGGCCCAGACAAAGGGCCCTCTGTGTGGAGCGGCTATTGTGTGGAGCCGCATAGAGATGCAGATGAAGGCGCTGATCCGTGAAGAACGAAGCTTCATTCATCCAGCACCAAAATGAAAACCAAAATTCAGCTTCAAGGATTTTATTCAGTATTTTCACTGACAGAACTATCATTTCTAACAAGTTTAAAACATGTCAGGTATTTTTACAGTGTAGTCAAGCTAATTGTCCAATAAGTGAAATCAGAAGCTTTAAAGGTTTAACTACGCAAAAAAAAATATTTTTTTATAAGCTTTGCATTTTAAGTCAAAATAAGCAAAAATGCAGCTTAAATAACTTCAAATTAATTAATTTACATCAGAATTGCAGGTATAAAAACATTTTGTTCCAAATTTCTTCTCTAATCTTCAGAATGAAATTAACTAAAAACATTAAACTAATCAAAAACAGCTACAATCTCATTTTATCCTGGTTAAATTGTTTCAAATTATATTTTCATTTACATCAGAATTCATTATTTTTTTATTAATGTTTTCATCAATAATTTAATTTGTCATTTTCTAAAGTGAAACCTTTAGATTAGACTTCTCTAGATTAATTTTTGTCATCATTAAACTTCTAAAGTGAAACCTTTAGAGAATTAAGACAATTCTGGAAAGTGGGAAACATTTGCGCCGACTGCAACTGCTGCCATGTTGCTCAGCCGAAGACGAACATCTGAAAAGTCTCTTTCCAAGATGGCCGCTTCTTCCTCAGCACCGCTTCTTCTCCTGCTGC